GTGTTGAATGCCTTCAACCAAGTTAACTGTTAAAGGGTAATTAAGCATCCTTGAAATATTGGCAGTCTGTACCATTCGGTTTAATGACGCCATTTATTTCCGTTTGGAATGAGGTCCACAGTAGGCCCCCAATTCTGAGATTGAGCAGCCCTTCCTACAACATTCATCAGCTACTCCCCTCATCTGCCGGAAGAAAACATCACGTTTTCCAAACAATGATAGAGCATTCCTACTGTCCAAGAAGCCTTCTTCGGGCCTTGGTTCGAATTCTTGGGGAGCGTACCACCAGGGTTCTGAAATCATTTTTTAGAAAAAAAAAATATATATATATATACATAAATATGAAGATATTCTTCCATATATATAAGCTATTAGTCCAGTTTTAATTGAACTCCAAATCATACGAAATCGATTAAAAATATTACACAAACAGTGTTGTTGCATTTATCAAAATAATTATATAACTTATAAAAACATGGATAATAAATGGTTACTTTTTTAACCGAGTTGTTTTGGTAATTTCGTTGAAAACATATAATTTAGGGAAATCTTTTTTTTTTATAGTCAATAGTGTGATTTATTAGCTTTTGGAAAATATAGTTATTTCACACACCAAAGATTCCAAGATTTAAACACTTATGACTTTTATGTTTCAGTATCCTACCATTAACAATAAAGCGTTACTGTTCTACCAGGCTTACACACACATAAGTTACGATGAACAGATAAATGATTTTCGTTATACTTATAGTTAACCATCACGTGTCGTATGTTTTATGCGATCAGTCAACTTACCAAGACTTTTCTTCATTCTATAACGTTGCACTTGATAATCGATAAAAAAGCACATAGGTAGGTCTGAAGTTCTGTGCTTGAAAGAATATTCCTAAGAGATTCTTACCTAGTTCCACATGATTGGAAATTAAATCGCTACCAGCTCTCTTGCCGGTACTTGGAGTGTAGTAGATGCTGTGGCACACTACAGCTAGCGCTTCCACTAGGTGTCTTCCACAGAGTCTCGTATTTCGAGTCTCAATTTTGTGCTGGTTCGGCAATCCCTGGGCATGAACAACAGCTGCGCATGTGCAAACAATGAGAAGTAATTGCCAGTTCATCTATGAAATAACAAATGTTGGAGAAATGTACTGAATTATTCATAAAAATTATAGTTTTATAGTGAATAAGATTTAAAAAGTATTAGAAATAAACACAATAGAAGACTCATCTACTATATTATTTTTCCTGATTCAGGTACAACGTAGCAAAGCAACAGAGTAAGTACCATTTAAAAGTAAATCCCATGATTAATGTTTTGCTTATCATCTATCATAAATTAGAATTAAACAAGTACGCTGATTTAGAACCAAGTATAAATATGTTTATATGCAAGTAACAAACTTCAAACTAGTACGATTTAAAACTCGTATCGTGAGTTTCTGGAATATTAGACTCGATAACGTTGACTATTTTACAATTTAAACTTGTTATTTATTGGGAATTATCAACCCCTGTACTTGGGCCTTTGATGGTAAACAACTGTTGTTCATAACTTCAAACTTTTCACACGAAACCAGCGGTTTTCTATTCTGAACTACCCTCCCTTAAGTATGACAATTTTCCTCCCCGTTCTCCCAAAATCTGAATGGCATTTCAAATAATGTCTATAAAATAGGGTTATTTGTATGTAAAAATCTATAAGAAAAGTAAGGCTGCTCAAAAAGTTACCATCAATTTCAACGATAAGGTTGGACTTGCTTTTCTTTGGCTTATGTTAAGAAAAGGCATTTCACTATCTTTTACTTGTTTGTGCTATTCATCCTTCTTACTTTCACGAAAAACATATAGGCCAATAATCTATCATTTTCTTACCCTCATTATCAGCTGCCATTAGATTTATTCGCTCTGAGCGATCAGTTTATTTGAAACTGTTCTAACCTAACCTGTTCCACTCTTTCACCACATAGAATGTTAACCATTGGTACAACACCGTTCGGAATCCCAAATATCTAAATTAACAAAATAATAATAATAACAACCTGATGAACTGTCTCAATAATCTCATTTTAATACATTAAAGTCGTTATTTGGTAGAATAACAGAGAACATTTGAACTATTTCAAGAAATGTGGTTGTCAGAAAGAAAAGTTTGTTATATATCAGACTACTTAAAAGTGAAGTTGTCTGTGGAAATAGTCTACTTTCATTCTTTGTTAGAGAAGAATACAAACAACGTCGTTTCACTTTAGCTCTAACATTTTCTAATTGGTTTCGAATTTTCAAAGAACAGTAAAAACCCATAAGTAAACGAAAGTCAGCTATCGCGTTAAATGGTTTCATTAATTATATTCTTCATAAACTAACAATGAAACCATTAGTTCACACGGCTAAGCCTTATTGCTCCTCTTTAGTTAGCGCAATTTAGATGCTACATACATCTCCATGAATTAGGACAAAGAAAACTTGTAGTTCATAAGACCTAGCTTTCCTCTATTTAAAACTTGTTTGTTTTTCATTATCTATTAATGAACCAAATTAGACTACTTTATGATAATAAATAACCTTATCTGAAGCATTGATTAAAATTGCGTATAAAGTGATGACAAGGAATCTAAATGTATTCTACAGAATATACTTTGTGTTTTTTGTATTCCGGAAGTAAGCTTTCAACCTACTATTTGAAAACATGTTTCGTATAGTGAAACTGACACTGAGCAACGTTTTTATATAGTAACGATGTTTGATGTTGGTTATTAATTACAAAGCTACCCAAAAAGCTATCTGTGCTTTGCCCACCACGGGTATCGAAACCCGGTTTCTAGCGGTATAAGTCCGTAGACGCACTGCTGTTGCCACTGGGGGACTTTTTATGCAAACCAACCAAACAGTTATTAAAATACCTGATGATGACAAAACCTTGTCGAAACGTTGTACATTTGCTGTTATGTTAAACTTATATTAAAGTTTTTCTTCATTACCCATTCAAGCCGTCTCCAACATTATTAAACAGTTATTAATTTAACGGCCTTGAAGTTTTATATACGTATTATATATTCATCCAACAAGATTTGGCTTCTTTAACAAACTCACGAGTTGTATACGCATTCAACAAGATTTGGCGTTTCAAACAAACTTACGGGTTATATACGCATCCAACAAGAATTAACTTGTCTAACAAATTCATGTGCTGTACCAATCCAAAAAAGTTTGGCTTCTCTTACAAACTCATGTGTCGTACGCGTCCAACAAGGTTTGTCTTCCCTAGCAAATTCACGTGTTCTACTCTTCCAAGAGTTTATTTCTCTAACAAACCCATACGTTGTACACATCCAACAAGGTCTCGTTTCTCCAATAATTCCATACACTGCACGCATCCAACTTTTGGTATAGTTTTTAATTCAGTTTCTATACAAACAGTTTCAATACGACCAACAGTGTCAAGCTGAGGTGGTGTTTAAATGAAGGTCGAAATGCACGACACAATAAAATCACTGTTTGTGTTTAGACAGCATTAGTCGGAATCCAATATCAGCTAATCAGATCTATTTTTCACTTGAATTATATTTTAGTTTTTGCAGCGTGGTCCTTAATAGTTAATTATATGCATTTGTAATAAAGGGATGATTGGAAAGCTTAAACGTTTCGAAAAACATGGACAGGTTTATGCATGCGAACCAATACGTGGAAATGTAGTTTAGTATTTTCAGTATAGCGTATAATAATGAAACCTTTGTGAAATCCACTAAGATTACTTGAATAAAACTGTAGGTCTAGAGCTTTCAGTACTCAAGAGTGGAGATATTAGATTACTTCTAGGTATACAAAGAGAACTATTCCCCATAGGGGATGAATCACGGCTCTGATAAAAGTCAATAATGTGTTGCTCAGCTACAGAAATATTCAGTATCTCACCAAAGTCAGCACGTAGATTTCTGAGTTATAGAAATCCAGTGGCTCTGTCGCAAAATCTTCGAAACACTAAATTTAACATGGGAAAACATCTGGAAAACAACAAGTATACAGTTGAACTGTTTGTTACCATATGCACTTTGAAGTAGAATATTTGGAAATAAGTTGAATTAATGCTTATTATTTAAGCCAAGAATTATGCATACTTGAGTTATATTTGTTTGAAAATAACAAAATGTTTTAATGATATAAGACAAGAAAAGTTCTGTTCGAAGAAGGTTGAGAGATTTTATTAAATCAATTCTTATTCACTAAAATATTCAGTCACAAGATCATTAATAACCTAATCAACGTAGTTAATAAACATCAATCGATTAAACAAATACGTTTTAACAAGTCCAGAGGTTCTTTATGTTCGATCAGTTTAAAATTCATTCTCAAACATAAACTTTAAGTTGTATCAAATCATAACACACATAAAGATAATTGGAGCAATACTTAAGTTGGTGGAATTGTTATCGTGCAATGCTATTTTAATAGTTTTAGAGTTGATATTAGTATGAGTTTTTTTAGCAATACTAATTACCTTGTTGAGTATATTTTCAATAATTATTTTTGACCCTGCTAGCTTTAGTAATTCTAGTATATACAGTAATGAATATCCTTTTATTATTATTAGTGTTGATGAGTGTTCTTCTATTAAAGCTAATATTGAACTTGTTGATTACTACTGATTGATATCCTTTCACTAGTACTAGACTTGATCAGGTGTGTGTTCTTCCAGTAATTATAGTATTAACCCCTGATGAGTGTTCTTCTATTAAAGCTAATATTGAACTTGTTGGTTGCTACTGATTGATATATTTTCACAAGTACTAGACTTGATCAGGTGTGTGTTCTTCCAGCAATTCTAGTATTAACCCCTGATGAGTATTCTTCTATTAAAGCTAATATTAAACTTGTTGGTTGCTACTGATGGATATCCTTTCACAAGTACTAGACTTGATCAGGTGTGTGTTCTTCCAGTAATTCTAGTATTAACCCCTGATGAGTATTCTTCTATTAAAGCTAATATTAAACTTGTTGGTTGCTACTGATTGATATCCTTTCACAAGTACTAGACTTGATCAGGTGTGTGCTCTTCCAGTAATTCTAGTATTAACCCCTGATGAGTGTATCTTTCCAGTAACACTAACGTTTATTCAAGTAAATATAATTTTAATAATATTAGTCTTGGTCCTTGTGAGCGTCCTTTCAGTAAAGCTAATGTTGTTGTCCTTATTTAGTGCCCTTTTAGCGGCGCCACTGTTAATCCTTGGATTCTGATTAAGAAGTTAGCACATAGGATCACATACAAAAGTTGTAATGATTTTCAAACGAGACCCAAAACACGAGAGCTTTCAAATAGTTCACTATTCTTCTTCAGGAGAATAAAGGTGTCCTATTTGCAACACTACCGTTAACCTGGGCGTATTCTATTATTATTATTATTGTTAATGGAATTGACTCTATTTAAAATCCTTTTGAACATGGTAGAATTGGCCGAGATGACATTCTTTCGTCTATACATCCGGGAGATTATTCTTCGCGCGTGACTAGAGTGGACCTGATGAGTAGATTAGTAATATTAGAATTAATCGACTGCTTGACAGACTAAACATTTCGAGTAGATTCTTTAGATAAATTTGCTCGCATCTGTTATACTAATAGGCACTTGAAGTACTGATTTTCTTGTTTTGTTGATCATTAGACTAATTGTGAATAGAAAATCGGTCCTAATATTTCACTTTACCAGTTGTTTACTGCAAGCACTCTATGCATGATAGTAGTGTCAGATACAATGAGATATTGGAAACACGAGTCTGTCATTCGATTACTTTATTGGCTCTAGTATTGAATTACGATTTCGATATACCAATCAGAAAAGGGGAATCGTTTTCTTCCTGGTTACAAGAGATATTGAAATCCTGAAATCCTAAACGTACTTGTTCAAGAGTGTAATAATACAACCACTGCATATTTATCTGTAGGTTATTTTATTCATGTGTTAATCCTATTTGGTTTCAAAGGTTTATACTTACGTACAAAGTTTGTGATAACCATACCCGTGCTCTTCGTTTTAAACTAGTCGTATGACGTATAAATAAATACGTGTAATTACAGTAAATTCAGGAAGTTTCTGAGAATTCCTAAGATATGTTACATAAGA